AAAAATAAGCTTTTTTAATATAATTATTGTTGTATGGTAGCTTTGTTACTTAGCACATCAGTTTGTGAAATTCTTTTTATTTTCTATTAAACCCACAATCTATAAGTGATAGTACGTTACTAGTTGAAAGAAATAAAAATAAATAAATAAATGGATGCCTTCAATTAGAAAACTGAGATTGAAACTGTAGGCCTAGAGGCCATTACTCATGGTCCATTTATATAAGACGTCAATACAATTCAAATTCCTTGCACGTATATTAAAGATGGATACATCATTATTCTAAATAAACCAACTCAAAATAAATTTAAAATAAAAGAAGTTGATAATCAGCATTGGTAACTTCATGCAGCTGCAGTTATGCACTCAATTGCCTGTTTGCATATGCCAGTCATGGTTTCCTCAGGTCCATATACCTTAAACAGAACAAAAATAGAACAATAATGTTCATTTTCCTCGTATAAGTCAAGCAAGTATTTTAAGGTTCGACCATGTATGAAAGATATTCAAGTCCATACCTCGATGGGAATGCCGATTTCTTCACCAAGAGTCCTCATTTTGGCAAGTCCCTTTTGGTAATTTGGTCCACCTCTTCGGACGTATAAATTCATTCTTGCAGCCTTAAGCTTCGACTCCTGTTATGAGAGAAGTCGAATACGAGTTCTCAGCTTATGAAAAGAAATAATATTTAAAGGTGAGCGCTAATGGCTTGCTTGGTAAGGTACAAATACGTAGACGTGAAGGTTCCATACCTTCTCCTTTAAAGCTCGGATAATTCCATTAAATGTAGCAGCAACGTCAGTGAAGTTGGCAATTCCACCACCTATTACGAGGGCTCTCTTTTGGCCATCGGGATCTGCAGTTGCACACTGTAAAACAATTCATTAGTCTACACTGGATTTCATCAAAGAAATAGTCTTAAGGAAGCTTATGTAGAAGAAAATTTTTATATCCCTAATGAATGAATATATGACTAATTTTTTCAAATATGATTGATAAAATAAGAAACGAATTTAATGTGTTTCTTAACTCAATAACACAATCCTTACATCGATTACAACTCGGGCATACTGCAAGACCTCCTCTTCATTGGGAGCACCACTATATTCTGCATAGTTCCCGAGCTCAGAAGCATAACCAAGATCTCCAACCTGACCATGGAAGAAAATCCGTGTTAAGCTAATGTCATCAATGAGGAAGAACAAGGATGATTACGACAACTAAGTACACGTAGCGTTGTCTAATTCATGTTACCAAACATGTCATAAGAGCATGATAATGCCAAAGATGAGTAACATACAGTATCTGCGTAGATGACACTTGCCCCTCCTCCAGCGACCATAGTCCAAATTCGTCCTTTGGGGTTCAAGACTGTGAATTTCAGAGACGCACTCGTCTGCAAGCAATGGGAAATTCATAACTCAATAAAGATTTGAACCAGTTTCTAATAGAGGCGTGCGGTTTTGTGAATTTTTAAGAGGAAAAATGTCAGATATTACTATGAATAGAAAAATGTATACAATTTAGGTGTCCTGAAATTCATATTTGCCAATCATTGCATGGACAGATTTCAAAATTCATTATTTATATTGACGCTAAGGTGAGAGTTACTTCTAGATAAATAACTTTTCTTAAGAGTAAGAAAAAAGAGTTATTTATGTATGTTTGACAAATAAGTTTTTTCTGACATAGGTAAATTGTATCGATACATACCTTCTCATCCAGCCCGTGAATAAAGCTTTCTGTAGAACTCAGAACTCTTCCAAACGGCATTGGAAATTCAATACTTCCCCATCTGCAATATCAATGTCACATAAGAAACTGTATGGTATAACAAACATGCACTGAATTAGCAACAATCAACAAAAGACGGGATCAAATTACTTTTTGAAGTTCTTAAATGCAGCAGTATCATCAAGCTCGCCTCTCATATCCAAAGGATATGGCTTTCCCTCAACCAAGGTGAAAGGATTCATCTCAAGGAAAGTGAAGTCCAAATCTAAGACATAAAAAATCGATATCATGTTCGTTGCCAAAATCCAAGAACTTTTGTAACATTAGATATTTTTAAGTGAAAATTTATCTTGAAAATCTCAAGCTTACCTAAAAATAAAGTATAGATTACTTTGATGAACTCCTCAATCACACCTTTGACCTGTATCATAGAGAAGAATATAAATATGGAACTTTAAACAACAGCACTTAAATGTAAAGAATATTGTAGTCTAGGTGGAACTGACTTTGATATGTTAGTTTTACCACGGAAGTCAATGTTTTTCTCCGCAGTCTATAGAAACCATGTTTGGCAACGTTTAAGAAAAAGTGAATTTAGTATTGAGCAACTTTTATCTCCAAAAATATTTAAATAACTTATATTTTCCCTACTTTTAAGTAAGAAAAGTTACAATTTTTGAAAATAAGTATTACCTCATAGTCAAAATAAGTAACTACTTAATTTGTTTCTCATTGACGAGATAAAAAATAATTATTTAAAAATTACTTATTTAATTAAATAAATTTACTTATACACGTGAACAATTTAAGCTTAGCCAAACATGCTCTAAACAATGAGCATGAGAAATGGACAACATGTGAAGTATTAATAGATATACCTCCATGGGAAGGGTTGCCACAAGAGGAGCACATAGCTCTGATGTAAAAGATACACCAGTTGGCAAAAAGATAGTCTTAACCTGTATAGGGGGGAAAAAAGAAACAAATATCATCTGTTAGTAAGATTTAAGAGGGACATAGGTACAGAAATAAAATTGTTAATAAGATTTATGTGGAACATATAAAATATATTTGGGAAAAATTTATAAGATGCCTTTGGCCAGATTAATTATATAGGTAGGTTTTGAGTACCTTGTCCCAGTTCTCTTCAATTTCAATTCCTCCACATTCTGAAAAACTGATGCTACAACCAAGCCTCTCAGAGACAATATTGAGGTAGAACTCTTCATTATGGGGAATAAATGGTTCGACGATAAATGTTGTAATGGGACCTTTGCAGCCTCCCATCTCCACCTGTTAACTCCGAAACAAACACAGCTTAAAAAAAAATTGAATACACGTTGAACCATCGTCCAGATTATACATTTCATATTTTAATGTATGTATTTGTGAGAAATTTGTATCAAGTACCTCCTTGCCTAGCCGCTCTTTCACGAAAGCGGCAACTTGAGCCAAATCGAGTTTTAAGGCAACAAGACCACTTTTCCCTCGTTTGCCGAATAACATATCAGGTTTGACAACTAGTTTTGTCGATGAAAGCCATGGTTCTTTGTTAACTAGTTCATTGAAATCTGTCGACTCGGTAACCTAAACAACAACATGAAGAAATATCGCATTATTGAAGTTAAATTAAGAATTACATACCAAATCCAAACAATCATATACAAGAGCCAAAATCTAGTCCATTATGTTGTCTAGTTGTGTTTCACATTTATAAAGTGTAAGATGATGAGATATAAGTATATTCAATTGTACTAATGCTTCGCCTACCTAATCCCAACGATTTAATTTTAGTCAGAACAATAACAAAATGTTAAAGGGAATCAAAGACAGCCATGGATGATAAAAATGATAATTAAAAACACAGATTTTGATCTGCCAGAGTACAGCACATGCATACAAGTAGATGATCAACTCCTATAAATTTACCCAATAAGGTGAAATTAGATTCAGGTAACCATACACAAGGTTTTTATTCTTTCTTAATTCATTAACCAAATTTCTCTGTTCTTTTCTTCTCTACGAATATCAAACTTTCACACGACCAACAAATTTAAGATAATCTTTTAAAAATAAGCAAACCATAAATAACAAAAATAAGCTAATTATTTAAGAAAATAATAGCGTTTAAGGAAGCTTTAACCAGCTTTTCATTGTTTCTTAATTCCTTAACCAAATTTTCATCTGTTCCTTTCTTCTCTACCAACGTCAAACTTTCACTCAACCAACAAATTGTAGATCTTGTAAAAATAAGTAACCCATAATCACAAAATTAAATTACTTATTTGAAGAAAATAACAAGTCCCAAATCCCACGCCAGCATTTCGATGTGACTATCAAACGAGTCAATTTTAACGTGGAATCCCAAATCTTAATGCTACAAACTAAATCACGAGATATTGAAATTACTTGGGCAGATTTGATTTCCAATTCAGATCCAGAAAGCCTTTTGAAATGCTCTTTCAACAACCTCTTGGAATCATACTCTCTGATCTTCTTCCTCGCCATTTCTTTTCAAGCTGCACCCAGATTAAAATCAATCAAGAACTACTTTGAAATTGAAATAATTTCAGATCTGTTAATCTTTAATCCAATCATAATAATAAAAAAATAAAAAAAAAGACCCAAAAAACTTGAAAGAAATTTAAGATCTTTACTGTTTAAAGAAGACCCAAAAGAGGATTCAAGAATTTCAGGTAATGTGTAGATCCACACTATGAATCTTGTGATTCTGCTACCTGTATTTATAGGTAAGAGAATTTCGGGTCAAGATTTTTGTGGAATTATGCTACAAATTTTTACTAATATATGGCTTATTATTTTAGCGGGAACAAGTGTACAAATAAGACGCAGTACGACCTTCCTACCGACCTTTGTGGACCGTCCAGTTGGTAAAATAAATACTGCTCCAATTAATTCATATTTTTTATTGGTTCAAATATGGAACCTTAAGTTGCACACTTTGTTCGTTGGCCTTCTTTTTCTTTTCCTCCATTCTCATTATATGACAAATGCTCACTTAAAGTCTGTTCGATAATGATTTTGAAAAATGATTTTTTGATCGTTGAGAGAAAAATAGAGATCACATGTGAAAGAAGAAATCAAAAATTATTATTAAAATAGTGAAATAACGGTCAAAAAATCAATTTTTTGAGGTGAAAAATTACTCCCAAACAGGGCCTTAATGACACCTCTTGTGAAACCTTTTAGAGTACAACATTTGTATTCAACCTTGCTACATTACTAGACAGATTTGCACATTCTGTCACATTTTTTGACAGAATGTTACACCTTCATCTGTCATTCAACATGTCAAATTCATCTAGCAAAATGGCATTATCATTTGTATTTCTTACTCATTTTTACAGCAAACGAGACTTTTTTGTCACGTTGATTTGAAATTTGTATTCTGTATCAACTAAATGGTCTTCAATAACATCTTGACGGAGAAAAAGATCAAGCCTCGGATTCTTTTCTAATAAATGTATTTCTTACTATCCTTTGTCGATTAGGTATTGTGTAGATGTATTGCACCTAATTGGAAAGTTTTGCGGTTAGTTAATGCCCACCATGGATGATGGTGATAGAAATTAAAGGTCATAAATGATATTATGGTAAGTATGTATAGTCATATGTTGGAAAATGATTTAAATGACTTCGTAACAAAATCACTTTCTTTAAATTAATTGTAAGTTTCAAATATTTCTCAATCAACTTTTATTAGAAATATATGAAAAGTCTTCTCTACCCATCTAATCTTATTAATGATCTTTAAATGGCTTGAAATTACAATAGATGATGGATTTGAACCTTCCCACCAAACCATTCATGCTTTAAATTTATTTTAAATTTGTTAGCTTTCAATTAGATTCACCTAAAATAAGTAATAAATCGTACTTAAAGTTATCTAAATGTTAAAATTGCATTTCGTTGTGTTTGGATATTCGTTTAGATTTTATCTTTCTTTGAAATCGAATATAAAAGTTTTCTTTTCAAGTCGAAATTATGAAAAGGAAGTTTTCTTTTCAAATCGGGATTTCGAAAAGTAATCATAATTAAAATACTATAATAGTGTTATCTTTTATCAGTGATAATTAAATGCCAAGATAGTTTATTATAATAATATATATTTTTTTACAACTTAAAGATATAATTATGTTAAACGTGAAAGATTGATTAAAAATATCTCTGACCGGCTGGCTGGCTGCTATTAAATAGTTAAAAAAAAAAATTGAATTTTTTTAGCAAAATAATATTAATTAAAAATTTGATTATTCCACAAGGCTGGGCAGCTTTGAAATGCAAGTATAATCAAATTAAAATTGACTTAAACCATTTGAAACCCAGTCAATACTGCACTACTATTACTTTATTTGCAACAACTTAAGTGTAATGATAATCAGACAGGCAGAAGGGTAGGGAGTAAAAAATTAGGCTAATGTGTAAGCAAGTTGTTGGCCCTATTTATTTATTTTTATTATTTTTTTATTTTTTAATAATATTTCAAACTCTTCAATCATACATGAACATGTGTGCTGCCTGTTTTTAACCCTGTATTTCACCCCGTTTTTTAGCAAAACTCACCACTTAATGGTAACAAATTATTTTCCAATGAGTTATTTTTAATATTATTATTTTTTTATTCCATTGGTCAGCCATCACGTGTGAACAGGTTTATTTGACTTTTTGTTTTAGTTTTAGTTTTTTTCCTTTTGTGCTATGTAACTACTCTTGTTCGAAGGAAAATTATTCGTTACATGAAACAAAATTAAAAATACGGTTAGCTTCTAAATTTTGAAAACTTTTCATTAATGTTTATTTTTTTTTAGGAGTGTTGATACACTACACACTCAAGCTAAGTAAAGGGTTTGTTTGAGCTCCATTTTCTAGACAAATTTTGTCAAAGAGTATGAAAAAGTTTTAAGTTTAAGTGTAAAATTATTTTATTAAAAACAAAAAAAGGTGTGATTGAAAATGGGTTAATTATATTTGCACCACATTTTTTGTTATCGGCATCACATTTTCAATTTAATAAATGTAGCTAATATTTGCTTATTTTTTAAATTTATTGAAAAAATAAATTAAAAAATTGTTATCACAACCAAGATGTCCAAATTAATAGAACATCGATGACAAGAAATCGACATAGAAAAAAAGAAAAAAGATAGGGACAAAAGTGTAAAAGTTAGGGACATTCACTGTAATTAAAATGCGGTATAATTAATAAAAATTATAGTGAGAATATAATTATATTTGAAAATAAATTTTAAAAAATAATAAATCTTGAAAAATTAAACTAAAAAAGCGGCAAAATAATAAAATTAACATATTAACATGATGTCATGTGGTCAGGAATAGGAAATATATATAAATTTAAAAGTCTGCATTTCGGGCGCAGACGGCTTCCTATATTGACTAGTTAGTTTCCACTGAAGGATTGAATTTGTGGATGACGTGTCGCAATTGCTGTATGGTAAGAGAATATATTATAAAGGGAGTTATATTGGCTCCTTATTTCATTTTCATAAAAATTATGTTCGCATAGGACCTTAAATCTTAGGGCGTCCAATATGAAAAACACTGTATGATAGAAGGCCATATTAAATTACAAATTTCTAAAAAAAATAAAAATGGATAACTTAAAAATTTATTTAACTATAATTTTTTTTAATCAATTCTAATTTAGTTTGATCTTATTCAAAGTCATTTTTTTTCAAGTTCAATATACATGATTAATTACGAGTTACCAGATGAACCCAATATTGTTACGATAATATTCAAAGTAGAATGATCTAATTCAAAAGTTTCATCCAATTGGGCTCATATCTTTTTCATAGTAATAGGATGATTCCAATGAGTTTGCCAATGTAACATCTTTCAGATATGAATCTTTCTAAATTAGAAAGAAAGAAAATTGTATCAATATCTCAGTTTTAAGGGAAAATTGCAGCAACGGTCATTAATCTTTTCGTTTTTTGCAGACTTTATCCTAACTTTTATCTTGTGTTAGCGAAGGCTCCTAACATTTCATAAATATGCACCTAAAAACCGTTAGTTGATCGGGAAAATTCTTTGAACTATCTGCTACCTTGACAATTTTATTGGATGTTGATACGTTTTTTGACGATGTTTTGGACAGTGTTTTGAACGATTTTATTGAATATTGATTTCTTAATTTTTTTGATCAACTGAAGGTGTTTTGGAAAGAAATTTAAGATCTTTACTGTTTAAAGAAGACCCAAAAGAGGATTCAAGAATTTCAGGTAATGTGTAGATCCACACTATGAGTCTTGTGATTCTGCTACCTGTATTTATAGGTAAGAGAATTTCGGGTCAAGATTTTTGTGGAATTATGCTACAAATTTTTACTAATATATGGCTTATTATTTTAGCGGGAACAAGTGTACAAATAAGACGCAGTATTACCTTCCTACCTACCTATGTGGACCGTCCAGTGGGTAAAATAAATACTGCTACAATTAATTCATATTTTTTATTGGTCCAAATATGGAACCTTAAGTTGCACACTTTGTTCGTTGGCCGTCTTTTCTTTTCCTCCATTCTCATTATATGACAAATGTTCACTTACAACCTGTTCGATAGTGATTTTGAGAATTAATTTTTTTACCGTTGGAAGAAAAGTAAGGACCTTTTGTGAAAGAAAAAGTCAAAAATTATTATTGAAATAGTGAAATAACGGTCAAAAAATCAATTTTTTAAAGTGAAAATTACTTCCAAACAAAGCCTTAATGACACCTCTCGTGAAACCAATGTGGACCATCTGATTTTTGCTTTTAGAGTACAACATTTGTATTCAACCTTGCTACATTACTAGACAGATTTGCACATTCTGTCACATTTTTTGACAGAATGTCACACCTTCATCTGTCATTCAACATGTCAAATTCATCTAGCAAAATGGCATTATCATTTGTATTTCTCACTCATTTTTACAGCAAATGAGACTTTTTCGTCACGTTTATTTGAAATTTGTATTTTGTATCAACTAAATGGCCTTTAATAACAGCTTGATGGAGAAAAAGATCAAGCCTTGGATTCTTTTCTAATAAATTATAATAAATGTATTTTTTGCTAACCTTTGTAGATTAGGTATTGTGTAGATGTATTGCACCTAATTGGAAAGTTTTGCGGTTAGTTAATGCCCACCATGGATGATGGTGATAGAAATTAAAGGTCATAAATGATATCCTTGTAAGTATGTATAGTCATATGGTGGAAAATGATTTAAATGACTTCGTAACAAAGTCACTTTCTTTAAATTAAGGGAAAATTGCAGCGTCGGTCCCAAACCTTTCATTTCGCTGTAGCTTACACCCAAACCTTTAATTTTTACGGCCGCAGTCCCAAACCTTTATATGTAATTGCAGCGTTGGTCCATTTCATGCATTCTATCCAAATTCCGGTCAGTCAATAGGGAAATATGCATTTTGACTCAAATGGAACGTTACTTCATGGGTAAAATTGTCAAAAGCAAATCTTTTCCACTACCCAAATAACAAATCATCTATTCAGTTCCACAAGGGAAAAAGAACCAGAGAAACACGACATTTCCTCCCGCTCCTCAATGGATCCCCACGAATCTGAAAATTGCGATGATGCGAAAATCGCTTGCCATCTTGGAGGCTCAGTCGTCGACTCCATTGATGGTTAGTTTTTGTCCTATGCTTTCAAAATTGGCATTATCAGTGATAGAGAAGAAATGTTAGTGATTTCGCATGAGCCATGTGCTTTAAAGATGGCATTATGTTCTTGAAATGGTGCTTGTACTTACGTTG